ATAAAATGCCTCAAAGAAGTGTGAATGATTGGTTTTCAAGGGTTTTTTAAATGTGGCCAAGCACAGGGGTGGAGTTTATGACTCTTACCTTCCATTCTTACTTGAAGCATACGACAAGAAATTTTGGTTGTATACTGCCACGAACTGTCATGGGGAAAGGGCTGCCAAGAACAATGCCATTATTTCACTTGTGTGAATCTTATTCTTTTTTTTTTTTTTGATAACAAATCTTATTCTTTAGTTCTTCCAATTTATGTAAGTTACATCATGAATATAGGCATTGAAGATGAGCAATGGGATCCCGGTGGACGTTATATAGCCTTATGTGTTAACTGGTCAATACATTTCAAGCAATGGGACCCTGCAAAATGATCATTACCTTGAGGACAAAGTGATTGTTATGGGGGGGAAGTATTGATATAACACCAATTCTAAAAGAATATTGTAGGAAGCGTTATAGCATATTCCTATCTCTCAATGCTGACTCAGCAAATTGGTTAGTTAGCAAAGAATATTCTAGAAGTGGATATGGATAATAAATAGAGAGGAATGTGAAGTGTGAGAGCATCTTGAATTTTGGACTTGGGTTGAAATTGGGAGAGAGTGAGGCCTCTCCAATTGTCTCACATTATCCTTTATTGTTATTTCCTTTACTATTAGTGCTTTTTCCAGTTCATTGTAATTTCCCTTTAGCTGTAATAGAGTCTCTGTTTCACTGCCGTTTAGGTGTATTGTGTCTTGATTTCCATGGATATATAAAATCTAACTATTCAAGCCAAATATTTCTCTATAATTTGTTGTTAATTATGTACTTTACTTGGAGGTTCCTATCAGAGTGTTTAGAGAAGAGAGTGTGATCTCCTTGACTCTACTAGCATCCCAATGATATCATAACCCTAGTAAATCTTCCAAACCAAGCACATGGAAATTGCTTTAATCTATACAGGGATTTCTTCAACCTGCAAACTTTGTTTTCTCCATTTGTGGAGTCAAATCCCAGTGGGATCTCTATATAAACTTCTTCTAGCTTGTCATTAAGGAAGACATTCTTCACATCAATTTGGTTCAAGTCCCAAATCAAAATGAAAAGCAAGGGACCATAGAACTCTCATGATATTCATTTTGATCACCGAAGCAAATGTTTCCTCATAATCAATGTCATAAGTCTATGTGTAACCATTGGCTACTAATCAAGCCTTATACTTGTCAAGAGTACCATCAAAATATATTTCATAGTATAAACTCATCTGCAACCCACTTCTTTATTTTTGCTTGGCCTATCAATAACTTCTCATGCTTTATTTTTTTCCGAGGCATTCATCTCATCATGCATGGCTTGCACCCGATTCTCATTATTCAATGCTTTGTGTGCTGATGTTGGGATTAAAATGGAATCAAGTGCTGAAATAAAAAATTTATACTGCACCGAAAGATTCTCATAAGAAACAAAATGATATACAGGGTGTTGGATAAAAGACCTTTACCCTTGCTTTAAAATAATGGGAAATTCATCGGGATTATAATATTAGGCTCAGGAACATAAGCAATAAAGCACTCAATACTTACCAATGGTAGCAGTATGGGTTTTTCTTCCTCCGATACAATAATTCCAGTGTCCCATCCTTTTGTAGATTAGCCTTTTCTACATAGATGAGGGCCATCTCAGATAAAGTATCAAATGAACTACCAGCCTCCACCTCTCATTAACTAAGTCTTCATCCTCATTATCATGTGGAGTAATACCTGGGGCAGATTCAATAAAGTCTAACTCAAGAGGTTTAGATGAAGGAAAGTGAAACTCAGTCTCACAGAAAAAGGACGAAGCTTTTGGACCGCTCCTCCCTGAAGATGAGGACGAGTGAAGAAGGACTCGTATTCATGAAAAGTGGCATCTATAGTGACAGAACTTACAACTAGGAGGATGATAACATTTTTACCCTTGTTTTCTCGAAAGAATAATCAAGGAAGACACACTGAAGAGCTCGGCGATCCAATTTTCTCTTGTACTATTTATGAATATGGACAAAGGCAACACATCTAAAGACCCGAGATTGAAGACTCTGCGTAACTAGAATAGAGGGAAAGAAAAAGGTCATATAATGAATAAGACTTACTTAAAAAGAAACAAATCTAGTACTTTTACCAAAGCACCAAACATAAGAATGAAAAAAAAAGCAAAGGGTTTAATACTATTGATTGCACTTGAAGGAAAAGACACACAATGGTGTTTTGCTAGCTCACAAACATCACAATAGAAAGAGTCTGCAAAAACAAAGGAAATATTCATTTCACTATGCTAAATGATGAGTGCCCCAAACGCTTGTGATGAAGCCAAATCAGAGATATTGGAGTTAACAAGTGTCAAGTCATCAGTAATTGATTATTGGAATCACTTGTAGCATGCTCTGGAATGAGATAGTACAACTCATCGTGCTCCTTAACAACTCCAATTATCCTCCCTGTGGTGAGATCCTGAATAACACAATATGTAGAAAAAAAGGTGATTGAACAATTCAAATCAGTTACAAACTTATAAGTGGAGATGAGATTGATGGAGTGTTAAGGAACATGAAGAACATCTTTTAAAACCAAGGAGGATTGAATTTGAATGTCATCGGAGCCCACAATTGATTTGTAGGATCCATCAACTATGACTATAGTATGGATACCAACAATAAGGTGACAGAAACAGCTTAGCTAGACAAGTCATATGATTAGTTTCACCAAAATCCATAATCCATAAATTTTTGAAGTTAGTGCAAGAAGCAAGAAGAGATGTATTGTGTGCTCGTACCAGACATAGCCAAAAAACAAGTGTCAGGAGGCTTACCAGGGGTATTAGAAATGGTCTTAAGTTGCTACAACTCTCCTCGCCAAATACTCACATATAAGGATGCCTTACCAAGTTTCTCTATAACTTTTTGCTTTCCATAAAGAAGAAAACACATGTCTTAGTGTGTCCAAACCCCTTAAAGTGTGTGCACCAATGTTCCACTGATGATAAAAGGAAAAGGGCAGCACAAAAAAAGAGTGGTAATTACTAACGAAGTCTCCATAACCCCTAACAACGATGGAAAGACCAAATCTATGGAACGAAAATCAAAGAGAACCAAAAAGCTCAGATCTTGACAAAAAAAAGGTCAGATCTTGGCCAAAAAAAAAACATCATGCGTGAGATCACAAACCCACAACCCAAATGATGTCCGTTGCACGAAGCAAGAGAAGATCTGAGAAGAGGAGGGTTGGGCGACCCCTTCTATGCTTGGTCAACAGTGAACGACCATCATAAAAGGTCATATGCACTGGCAGAAGGTGGCAAGTGATGTCTCTGCGCAGAGAGAAAAGACGGCGCGTGCAAGAGCATGGATGCTCCATTCGAGGTGGGTCTTACAGCGTTGGACAGATCGGCCCTTTTTGAGTATGTTGGGGTAGGTTTCAGTAGGAATGGTCACCGGAAAAATTTTCAACGAAACAAGAGCAAAGGCAAGGGAAGCACGACTACTAAACGCACTAAAGGTGAAGAACAATCTTACACAGGAGGCAACAACTGAGACAGAAAGTAGGCTTAGGGTTTTGCGGAAGCAAATCAGAGCTCCAATGCCAACTTGATAGAAAGCAAATCAGAGCTCCAATGCCAACTTGATAGAAAGCAAATGAATAATATTAATTCGTAGAAAAACATGTACAAGTGTTAAACTATTTATTAAAACTAACTGGCCTAATGGACCAAAGGGAATAAAGCCAAAAAAATTAGTAAAACAAAAATACAATAATTTCGATTATTCACAACAATTGTCATATCATCACTCTCAAATGCATAATGTTTGCTTTATAGCATTTGCCCCCAGTTACCAAAGGAGAGTAGGTGGATGGTAGGTTACAAGTAAGATCAACCTAAATTTTTTATTGGTACTAACCATATAACGGTAATATGAGGCTAATATCGGTAATTGATATCATTTTCATGGTTGTCAAAATTAAAATCTTACCAAAGATCCAAAAGGGGTGACAAGATAATAAATTGTGGAATTTTAACGGTATTAACAGTTGAATTACGATTTCAATTATAATAGATTCCAAATATAAAATCGACAAAAGAACTTAAATATAAAAAGGCAACTTCAAATCATTATTAAATTTAACAATCAATTTTTATTAATAATATAAAAAAAAGTATTCTGCTAATTCAAATAAAAAAAATGAAAATGACCGAAATCCAAAATTTGTAAATGTGAATAAGTAAAACAAAAGTGTAAAGGGATAGATTTGAAATGTTGACATGTTATTCCAAAGTGGAAAACAACTCTTTCTCTCTCTTCAAGGGAAGATGCTTTCTTTTTCTGTCTCACTCTTCCGATGACCAAAATTTGCTTGCAAGTGATTGACCTCTCCGTGCATGTAGTCTCTGACAACAACTGCAAACGACTTCCCTCTTCTCTCTCACACTCACCTACCTAAGAATCTCGGTTTTTTCCCCAAATCGCAAAAACGGAGAAATCGTCCAATCCCACTGATTTTACAAGTTTCCACTACAAACCTAAATGATCTCAGCTCTGGACAATTTATTTGCGATTTGGATTGCTATAGAGTAAAAAGTCAGAGGAAAAAAATTGACCTACACAACTTTAACAACCATGACCATTTTGATACCCTATCTCGGTGAATCCCATACAAAGCAGTTAATATTGGATAGCAACACAGGGCAGGCAACACAAAAATGATGTATCATGTACCAGACCGCAGGGTAGTGACCACACTGAATATAGCATATGCACATCATAGATGCATAAATCTCAAAACATAATCAACTCAAGACATACTCATCATTAATACTGAAAAGTTATAGCTTAAAGACACAATCATTAATAATCTAAGGCAAAACTAATAACAATAAATCAATAGCAATGAAAAGCATCACAAAATAAAAATACAGAGCTAGAAAGTGCAAAACAGAGGGTGCATGAGGCAGGTATTGTGAAACATAAGATATCGACTCTAACCTGATTTATCTCGGAAACAAGCTGATTCAATATCTTCAAACCTATAGAATAATGATATTGTGCCTGCTGAAAGCATTCTCTTTGTAAGATTAAAATTTCAATGCAATTCGAAGGGTAATACAGAAAGAAAAGAAGCAAAAATGGGCCAAAAAAAAAAACAAAGCAAAAACAAAATATTGAATAAAAAGGCCATAAAATGCTAAATCGCAATAGGGCAGCTACAAAGAAGAAACTTGCAAATATATGTCCAAGATTGGATAAACGTTCCAGCATGGTGGCAATTAACAAAACTAGCTTATGACAATCATACCCTATTCCTAACTCCTAATGGGTTTTCAAACTCCCAATTAAAAAATATTCGTAAAAGAACAATAATATAAATAAGATTAAAACATAAATATTTTTGTTATAAAACAAGGTATAATATCAAATCCCCCTAAACTTTTCATTTCAAGATCAGACCATCAAAATCCTTCATTATAATAAGACTCAGAAAATAAATTACAGAAGAAGGACTTCATTTTTGTTTCAGAACACATTGAAGACAAGGAAAAAAAAATAAGGGAGAACACGATATCCTCATAAAGGAAACAAAAGGGACATGAAAGAGAAATAAGAGACAGATATCCAAAAGAAACAAAATCACATTCCAAAAAAAAACTAAGCACATCTTAGCCAAATCACAATATGAAGTTCTGAATATTAAAAATTCATGTAGAGAATGTTGGCCTTTATGGAATTCTTTGTTTGGCTTTTTGGGAGAATGTTGGGTGTGTCCCAAGTACTTGGATCAGTTTTTCCCTAACCAGTTTCCATGATTTTGGTAGAAGAAAAGAAGCTTAAGTAATGTAGCAATGTGTCATATTTGCTAAACTTTCGTGCATTTGGCTGGAGTGGAACTCTTACATTTTTTAGAATATCTCTTCAGACCAGCAGTTGCTTTGGGATAAGATTAGGCATTTGGATTCCCTATGGAATAAAGCACATGACCTTTTTAAAGGGGCATCCTTACGAATATGTTGAGGGATTGGATAACTTTACTCCATTAATGTCTGTTGTTCCTTCAAGTTTACTTTATATTTTCTCTTTTACAAGGAAGATTTCTTATCCTACTTTCCCGGGTTAACATTCTTGTCTTAGTCTCAATAAATTTCTTTTGTTATTCCAAAAAAAAAAAAGTAAGCACATTGTTAAAATATCTAAAGGATATCGTATATTATTAAGATTATATCTTAATATAGTTTAGAATATCCTAGAGGATCTCTTAGGGTTTAGTTTCCCTTTTTCCTTATATTTCATGATTTGTTTCCTTTTTTAGGAGTCTCCCATTTAGTGTGAATAGAGATTAATGCTTTGTCTTTTATATCACATCGATCACTTCATATCACCTCAATATACAATTCAGTCTTCTCGTGTTTTCTCCATCTAGAACTAAATCCCTATAATTTGAATACCGTACCAAAGCAATATCATTATATTTTTCTTTCCTACGAGATCTCCAACCGACACCTGTTGAACTGGATAGGGCCACTGTCTATTGGTAGTCATCCACCACTTTTTCACTGCACGTCCACCATACCTACAGTCTTTCCTCGTTTGATATGCTTCGCATAAACGGCAAGAAACATGCAAGTTACAATATGGCCCCATCAGTCTTTTAACCAGATGCAAATTGGCCCCGTTGGATTTTGTCTAAGAGTCTGGCCCCGTCAGCATTTGTCCCAGATGCTCGCTAGCCCAAGCTGCCTCTTTCGACTTCCTAGCGTGAAGTTTTACCTCCTTTTTTAGTTTGTTAGCTTTGCTTGACGGTTGTCTTCCTCGTGCTTTGGTTGGGTCTAATACATTTTCGTGATTTGTAGCTTCCAAATGTTATTCTTGATGAACTTAGAAAGTTTTTAAGTTCTTCCTGTGTAAACTTATTTGCCAAGACATTTGTGCCGAAGGTCATTCTAGCGAAGACATTTTTTTCCTTGGTCACACAATATTTCAACCAACTCTTTGAGCCAACGGTAATTATAGCAATATTCTTAAGTTATCTTTCCAGTAATACTCAACTCTAAGACATCTCCGGCATTCTTGAGTTGCCTTTCCAACCATGTTTTGTGAAGGCTAGATATATATATTTTTTAACGATTTATTTGCAACAAGCTTAAAGTTTAGTAAATTTTAACTTGAGGGAGAATGTTAGAAAATCTAGAGAATATCGTATAATATTAAGATTATATCTTCATATAGTTTAAGAGTATCCTAAAAGATCTCTTAGGACAGGTTTCATAATTTCCTTATATTTAATTATTTGACTCCTTATTTTAGGAATCCCCAATTTAATATGAATAGGGATGAGTGCTTTTTTTATTATCATATCAATATACAATATTTTTCAATCTTCTCCCTTTTTCTCCATCTAAGCTAAATCCCTAAATCCATATAATTTCAACACACACAATTTTTATCATTAATAAATAACAATTTGAAGTATTAGCAGATTTTTAAGTACTCAATATTTTTTATTCTTTTGAAGAATAAGTGGAATTTTATAGAAAGTCATCCAAGGGTTCAAAACTTTATATTTTATACATGTAAGTCATATGATAAAATCCCGAGCATAGGAAACAAAACAAAACAAATCTGGATACAAAAGAAAGACAAGAAGCTGAACAAAACTGGGGTTTTATATTGAATTTCTGAATTCTGTAGTAGAAACCATTTTCTCTAGAAAAATATTGAAGCGGCCAAGCTTTACAAGTTGTGCAGAAATCAGTGCTTCAAAGCATTTGCAGTTATGACTTCTCCATTGAAACTTTCCTAAGCAGCTTATAAAAATCCTATCAGCCAGCCTCTCACTCTCTCTCTCTCTCTCTCGCAAAGTGGAATTTATTAAGAAAAAAGAAGAGAAACTCAACAAGCTCTGAAGTGTGACATACACCCAACTTTCTAATGGACCAGATATCTAAACCACAAAGCCCAAGCCACCAGAAAATGCAAAAGCAACTAGAGAAAGTGCTTTCTATGGGTTACCTAATACATAGCAAGTCATTAGCATTAATCCTATTAACCATTAATCCTATTAACCATCACAGACTAAACAAAAGCTTTGACCTTCAATGCTGGCTGCTGCCATAGATTTCTAAAGCAATCCAGAATTATTATAAATAATTTGCACTTTTTTGCGGAAAAGTGATTATGCAAATTCTATGGGGGAAAAACAGAATCTGGTGCTTCCAACTTCCAAGAATACTTCAAGGGGAGCAAAATTTTCCAAGAAAAATATGAGAAACCTAAATAAAACTGGTTAGATATTAAGAGTTGATGAATGCGTATTAATCTCTTAACCATCCCCACATGCCCTAGCCGACTAGACTCAAAAGCATTGACCTAAAGCTACTTTACATTCAGCTTTGATGTTATGAGTGAGGGCAATTCTTGTACACAGCATTATCCTTCTATATTTGCAAAGAGACTATTTCGGGAATTTGAGCCCGTGACCTTTCAGTCACAAAGGAGCATCTTTATTACAGCTTCAAGCTCACCCTACTTTTAATGAGGCAATAGAGGAACATCAAACCAAAAGCATAAGCTATTCATTGAAAGGGGAAAAAAATTGTTTAAGAACTAATATGATTTCCATTAATGTATGAAATATGGACTCCTTTAACTTAGAACATCTAGCAAATGGAATGTGCTAAAACAAAATGGCCATGAGCTTTCCAAAGAGTCATATTCACATGGATGTAGCTATGTTATAAAAACATGTCATGTCACCTGACTCAAGAAGTTCATTGCCTCTTTAACAACCTCCCTGAATCTTTCATCATCAAGCCAGCCAAACTTTGTAATGCGACAAAAGAGTTGGATCAAGGATCCAAGCACAAAGGGCTCCAATTCAGGTCCTTTGCTGGCCAGATAGTTTATGAGATAGTTTCCTTCAGAAAAATTGCAATTTGATCAATTTGGGAGAAAAGAAAATAGAAAATGAAGCAACCATAATATAGAAAAATTGACAGCAACACAATCCAAAATTATGAACCCAAATTTCCTAAAAACAACCTGAAATGTAAACAGGTTAAAATCTCCCTTGGATGATCCATAAAATAGGTTGATACCAATTCGAGAACGGAGAGGTTAATACGTGCAAAAATATGTAATACCTAATAGACTACAATTATTGAAGAATGTAACTAATAATGCTGAAACCTCAGTCAGTAAAATCTGTTTAGGCAAAAGACCAATAATATGTTTTTGCCCACAGACCCAAGCCAAATATATAGAGCCCCAAAAATACTCCTAGTCATAATCATCTGCAAGCAAACAAGAATATTACGAATATCAATCCGAAGCTGTAAAGGAAGGCTTTGCTCTGTCACTTGCTTCAACAAGCTCGAACTAGCCAACATCAATGCATACGGAGAGGATGCATTGTCCAGAACATATTGGCACTGAGAAATGTAGTCAGCATTTAAGGAAAAGCATTTCAGGGTACTTTCAGCATGTGCTCGCTCAACAGAGTCCTGCGAGTTATAAAGCTTTTCACACAATGCTTCCAGTTGTGCTAAAGTCTCCATTCTTCACTGCTTAGGAAGTGTATCCAAGAATTCAGATGAAGTCAGTTCTTCCCCTTTTTCCACGTATAACCAATATAAATCTACAAGATTTCATATGAATTCAAGTATATATTTAGAGGTGGAAACACAAAAAGAATCTAAAGAAAGCCTCAATTCAATACAAATCATTAGACACCATCAACATCGATCAAATTGGATATACTAACACAAAAATGTTAAATGTTTACAGGTGTACAAGATAATGTTTTCAAATCTGAAACTGTTTGAATTACAAGAATACTCTAAAAAACAAATATAGCTCTGCATATAAGGATCATGGCAGAATTCATCAGCAAATCCAGCCACAATAGCACTGGTCCAAGAAATGAGCAGTATAGGCCTGACAGAAGAAAAAAAAAGTCAATTATTTCAAAACTTGATACATGATACAGAACCTTCAACTAAATAAAACAGATGTTTTTCACCACACAGTAGAAAAAACAAACACATAATAAACAACTTTCATTCATATAAGACATTTCTTTATCAAGAAATTGTTTTAATTTCTAAGTGAATCTTGTTAAGGCCTTAAGAGAAACAGCATTAAAACATGACAAACATAAGCAAGTACCTAAACCTGTATGAATGGATATGTATTACACAGCCTTCAAGGCTAAAATTTTGAAGTGTATAAATTAACTTATCGAAACATGAAACATAGATGTGCCCTACTTCTCATTGCTCCATAAGCCAATCCTCTCCATTTTAGGAAATAAGTTCACCCCAAAAACTTAATCAACAATTGCAACATGCACAAAACATTGCTTATGGTATCCACTCTGCCTTCCCCTCTCTTCAAATCATGAACAATCACAGTTCACCAAGCAGTACAACAACAATAACAAAACAAGGTCAGCATGTGAGGTGACAATAAACATGTTCTTCGCTCAATAGCACTTAGTGATCCAGAAGAGAGAATAAAGCTACGCACGAATGAAAGAAAAAAAAAAACAGTTTATCAATCACAACAACATATAAGAAATATATCATCAACACAAATTTCGACAGCACTACGCACACGCAGCAGTCAAATTCCGAAACACAGGAATTGACATTCATTTCTTATTAGGAGTCGGTCAAGAGAGGGTGAAAACATGTTTAGATTCAACAAGGCAAGGTGTTTGAGCACTCGATCATCGATTATAGTGATTTACACACATCGAAAGAGCAGAAAAGGATCGGGGGGAAAAAATAGTCCATTTGTACACAAACACCGAGCGTTATAAGGGATACCTAAGATCGAGTTCTGAGATTAAGAAGGAAGTGTTCTTACCGAGAGCAACAATGGCGTAACTGCGAGAGCGAGTTTCCGAAGATTCTAGAGTTTAAGCGAAGCTGTGAGTTTGTTGTGGGAAGGGATAAGAGCGAGGAGTATCAGTTTCAGAGTTTGAGAAGCAATGAAAAATGAGGTCATGTTGCGGTCCTTAGAACTTTTATAGGACGATTACCCCCACGCACGTTTTTTGTATTCTTCTATCTCTCCGTGTGTCCGTGCGGGACCCACCACCGCAGAATTTCTTCAGAGGTTGGAGTGTACATTTATGTACACACTACACAGATAGTCTGATACCTCTTTTTTTTTTTTTTTTTTTTACAGATGCCGCTTATTTTCATTTGTGTTTAGTAGGCTCCCATTTTGTGGTTTTAACTTTGGGTTTAACATCTCTCCTCTCATAGAGAGATTGAAATTTTCCAGGGGAAAGAAAATTTTGTAGAGTCCACAAGTTTTTGAAAATATAAAAAATAAAAGCACAGAATTTGAGCTTACACAACATGAAAAATACACTTCTCCATCAAGAAGAGAAGTGTATTTCCCTTTAACTTTTATGTTGACAAGGAAAAAAATGTACGTGCTAGGAAAATTGAAAATTTAATTTGAATTGTAAATATAAGAGTTGCGATGACAAACATAAAATATAATGAGTGTTAAATATTAAGGGGCATTTGGTAGAGAAGAAATTTTTATTTACTCGGAAATCATGATTACTAGAAATAAAGTTAGAATATCTGTTTCTCGGTAATGTTATGAAAAAGCTATTTGGTAGGTAAAAATATTATCAGAAATTTTAGTTTATTTTACTGTGTTTGGTTGATGATAAATATTGGTGAGAATATGTGAGAGTTTTACGAAAATGACCTCAGTGGACACTATTTAGAAACAAAAACATCATTGCACGAAAATGAGTATTTCTTCTGGGCGAACTCTTTGACCATTGTATCAGCTTGAATATTCGTAGATCGTGATTTATGTACTAGACTTCTTCCTCCTTGAATATTTGATGTGCCAAGTGAGTACAGCGTCGAATGTGGCATTAGTTCTTCATATACTTCATTTGAAGTTTTTTTTTTTTTAAGTTTATATTAAACTGGACAAAAAAGGTAGGGTGCTTATTATATATGTGTGTCTTTAAAAAAAACTTAGCTTTCTGCCTTACTATTTCTAACCAGATCATATGTTGATGCACATGGAATTGGTTCAGAGTCCAAGTCAAAAATAAACTTTGATTTTGACTTGTGGGTGTCTTTTGCACATTTGATTGCTTGTGGAAAAGCACAAAGGCAGGGAACAAAGAAGCAATCCAAGTCTTGCATAGGTAAACCTGAGCAGGAGGATGATATGAATGTTGGTCTTCACTCTTCTCCTTCTGTTGCTTCATGTCCTGGGTTGCCTTAGGTTTTCAGGCTTTCGAAATTGAAAGATGCTACAAATGGGTTCAACGAGTTTAATGAAGTTGGTAGGGGAAGTTATGGCTTTGTTTACAAAGATGTATTGGCAGATGGGAGAATGGTTGCTATGAAGAGAGACCAGTTATGAAGACCAGTTGTCACAAACGAAGGGTACAATTGTCCCAAAATATCAGACAACATTTCCTTAGATCGGGAATTTAACAAATACCACCTCTTTGGTGGTAATTTTTGGATGTAAACTGAATCACATTTTGGTCATAAGATCAATTACAGGGCAAACTGGATACCCGGGTAACTCATATCAAAGCTCCTACCAAACGTGGCCAAGTACGAAAGGCATTTTAACTTTCCCGGTATTTTTACAAACATCCCTCTACCAAACAGGCCCTAAGAGAAAAGTGTATGTCATTTTAAAGGATGTAAAGTTGTGTCATTTTAAGTGAGAGAAAGAGATAAATTATAGGGAAGAGAGAGTGGACAAAAAAAGTAAAGATATGGGTCCCAACTCTTTGTGAGAGTGAAATGACACAAGTTATGTCATTTAAAAGGACAAACACTTTTTCAGTGATATATTGTGTCTTAAAATACAAAAAGTTGTCATTAATGTGCTTGTTTGTAATGGATTGGAATGCTTTCCGACAACTTTACCTAAGGGAAATTGTTATTGTTAGTCTAAAGACCCTCAAAAACAATTATGGCCTCTTCCTACAGGAAATGAAATTATATAGTTTAGGTTAGATCAAATCATATGACTCAATATATTTTGTCAGAATAGATATGGCAATAAAGTGGATTATCTCATGTGTTAATTAATATGATTATATAATTTAAGAAAATTTTAACCATATAAGAATGGATTAATAGTAATAAGGGAAGAGAGAAAAAAGTATATAAGGATTGGAAGTTACAAAATCATAACTGTTAATTTGATTATTAATGGTCAAGATCATCTCACATGATATAGTCATGTTAAATAACATATGAAATGATCCATTTCCGACAAATTCAAACTTTTAAAAAAAATTATTAGAATATTCAAATTTTATTAATTTCTAGAATGCTTCGACGTCTTTTATGAAACATGTTTTGGCATAATGATTAATACCTAAGGCGATTGATCATTTATAATATTCACTTACAACTTTAATTTTGATTAGCTGATTAACCAATGGCAAAGTTTGGTATTTCAAATTAAAAAAATATTAGAATTGTCAAATATTATTGATTTCTAGAATGCTTTGATGTCTTTTCTGAAACATGTTTTGGAATAAAGATTAATGCCTAAGGCGATTCATTATTTTATAATATCCACTTATAATTGTAATATTGATGAGCTGATTAACCAACGGCCAAGTTTGGTAATTTAACCTAATCAATGACAGCCGCCATCATCTAATACACCTAAGAAATAAATATAAGGGAAAAGAAAATATTGTTTTCTATTTGTAACCATAGTTGTCAATAGCAGTTAGCGGCCGACCCTGAAAATGGTATAGTGATGTAGCGCATAGCGGTATTGCCGCTACGGTGAAGTATTAATGCCACATATATTATACTAACAGAACAGTCTAACAAATATAAATGCTCAACTCTGACCATCATATATGCCATGCATACTATTATTGTGTACTTATTGTACATATATTAATATTGTGTGGCTTTTTTTAGGCATTGCAAAAAGAAACTGAGCGGATCAAGTACCAGAGAAATATGACACCTAAGGAACCATTTAATCAGGTGTCAGAGAAGATCTAACCATGGCATAACACAACAATACATTACAGTTAGAAAAAAAGGAAAAGAAAGGGACTCTTACAATTGCAAATTTCAATGTAAATCGAGCTTCGATCAAAAATGATGCCCTTAACCTTGTGAATATTAAATTATTTTTTATTTTTTTGTTATTGTAAATGTGAATATTAAATTTGAGCAAACACAGTTGATAATTTGCAAAACAGGTTTCTTTATTTAATGGTCAATTATTTGATATGCGTTGTGCCACAAATGTTCTTAACATCATGGTTCAGCATGCTTTGGGAGTTGCAGCTTGTAAGTGAAATAGTCAATAACATTCGAGAAACTATTCATTATATTAAAAGTTGAATAACTATTCTTTACATTAAAAGTTCACAAACTTGTATCCAAAAAACTGCACAAACTATACTGGCACAATGATATAATCAAATCAAATACAAGTGAACTAATGAAGAAAATCATCATCTCCAGATTCTCCATCAAATTCCAACAAATCTTCTCCTTCACTTTCATCTTCACTTGAACTAAGCTTATAGATGTGCTCTTCCTCATCATCAATTTCTTCATCAACAACTTCATTCATCATTGCCAACCCCGTAGAGCTTAAAATTGAAGTCCTAGATACAATAGGTACAACTTGGTTAACCATTCTTGTTCCTCTTGTCTGCAGCCTTGTGTATGTTAGAGGCTCTCCAACCCCACTTGCATCAGCAACAACTCCCAAAGTCAAAGTATCATCACAAAAAATATTCTCATCTTCAACATTATCTTCACCTACTTCTCCCACCAACCACTCATTGCTATCATCAATGTCTTTTAGGATAACGGGATCAATCACATCGTGACTATCATAGCGATGTTTAAGAGCTTGATTGTACTTAATAAAAACCAAATCTTGCAACTTTTGATGCTCAAGCCTACTTCTCTTTTTGGAAAGAATCTATCTCATAATTAATAATACAAAATATTAGTTTCTTCGCTTCATAACCCATATATCAAATGTAACTATATAGAAAATATTATGTGTTCAAAAGTACTCCAATTGTGCCGACACCCGGATGAACTACAAGCCAAACTCATCACCTAAATGGCAAAGTCTCTCAAATTTGGAGTTTGAGAGCCATACAACTTCCACCATTGAGCTATAATTCCATAAGAAGCGTTTATTGTTAGCAACTTAGCATTAATATTTAATAACAATAAAGAGGCATTCAACAATCCTATATAATAACAATATAGAGGCACTCTTGGCAGTTCTATATAATTAATAACTTGAAATTCACGTTTACATACTTGGAGCTAATAAAGTCCTTTGCCTTATTGCTGACTTGATACCAAAGAGGCCTTTAGCAGTTCTATATGATTCTAATTGCATTGTAATTGTATCATTTTCTTCCTCATTTGCACTTAGCCTTTCAATGCATTTGAAAAGGCCATCCATCACTTCTCTATCATTTCCAATTGAATCATTGCCATAAAAGAATTCAAGATTTAGATAATGGCCCGCTGTGTAACATCCTCGTCTCGAGCCGGTTCAATTAACATGCATATGATATAAACAGAAACAGCGGAAGACTTAACTTACGAAAATACGAGCTAACTTTTTCTTTTTCTACTTTAATTCTTATTTGGCGTAAACGAAAATCGGGCAGAGTTTCCTCTATAAATTGGACAACTGGGGATTTTCCAATCCCACTCAGAAGCATTTCCTAATAAACAGTTTATACAACATATCAATTCAGAAATACCAAGTATCCAAATATAATCACATATCCATCCATGGGCGCATGCATAACATGGCTCCGTGCCACTATATCTAACAGCATGCAATCCAAGACGTAAACATATCTGAATACTACATCATCATATAACGTGCCTGAATACTCAAATGTACATACATCAAACTGACAGACATGTACAAAACATATACAGGCCACATACAAAATAAAGGATCTAACATCATGATCCACAAAATACTGAAATACTAAAGGAAAGTACTATACTCCAAAATAGAAGTAGCCTACAGCTACTCAAAATCCA